TACGAATGACATCAGGATGAATTACGTGGCAAACTGACCTACTTGCAAAAATGGTTGACACATTCTATCTTGTTGTGAAAAACAGTTCTTTACAGGAATTAAATAGTCCTTTTCGACACTTTAGAATAATAGATAAATGTTCAATCCGTGTATGGATAGTACGTAGGCAAACTCCGGTATACAAGAAAACATTTCTCAAAATACGCACCTAACCCGGTGCGCTTTTCCTCCCAGAGAGACACTAATGAGGCCGGTTCTGACTATTTCCATCCACTCAATACAATAATAAAATGATTGTCATTTCGGACTAACTCCAATGTGTGTTTTCATCAAAACATCTTCCGTGAATAAGTTCAATTTGAATAATATAAGTTCATTTTACTAATTATTCATTTGAGTCTTTCTCACGCTTCAATGGAGTTTTATATCCTAACAACATACACAATCATATGGAGACTATGTCCACGGGCGATGGCCGGTCCACACATGACCACCCAACCGGTCACAGTTTACTGACAATAGGTAGCTAGACCAGCCCTTACAAACACCCTCTGCTATTTTACGGTGTCTTCTCACCTAGCCAACATTTGGTATTTTTGTTACCTACAGGTAAGATTTTCATGTTGGCCAGGTAAGACTAGTGTTGAGTGCAGAACAATAGCCTTAATTACAGGTAATCGCTATAGTCAAACTCATAAAAGTAGATAACTTGAGACTATATAATATGTTACTGATTATTTATTTATTTACCAAACATTCAAACATAAATATTATGAAATACATACTCAGTACATGCATTTTTTTTATATAGCACTAACATATATAAAAATATAACAAAGCAATTATATTATACCTATTAAAACAGAAAAATATTAAGATATTAGGTGCTTAGTTTTACAAATATCACATTACCTATTCCGCCTTTGCGTATTGCAGAGTTATCTTCTCTTGTGAGCAGGTATTGATTGTTACGTCATTGGTTTGTGTGAGAAAATTACGTCGTTTTTTCAAAAATTGATGACGTTACTCTCACAAACAAATGACGTTAATAACTCTGTAATACGCAAAGACGGAAAGTACAGCAAGCATTTAAAAGCAATATTTGGCACTAAAACATATTCTTATATAAAAAGCACACCTATCAATCCAAAGAATAAAAAGTCAAAAACCTATTGCACAAAAACCCCCAACATATTTCAAGAACTATTATGGCTTAATAATTTACATGTATCGCCAAAAGACAATTAATACATATAAATAGGACATATATAAGGGACTAAAATTTTGGGTCAATTTTGAAGACCTGAGCTAAACAGTTTTTGAGATGCTGAATCAACATGCACGTGTTGACCGTATCATACACTATCTCAGTCTAAATGGAGTAAGTGGGATGCTGAATCAGCATACGTGTTCATATTGATATGTCCGTTCCGGAACCTGTCCTTGAGCTGAGTAAGGCGCTCGTCCAAACGTCCATACTTCTTCTTTCCTGGTCGTGGTTTTCCTCCAGCAGACAGTTGAATCATCCTAACCTCGAAAGCAGCCTGTAATTTCTGGAGCAACTTCACAATCGCATAAATGTTCGGGTGTGCATGCTTGCACATCCTGTTTACTTTACTGTACCATCCTTCTACATGGTTAGTTGTACGAGGCCCGGTGTTGTCATAGTGGTTCCGCAGGTCCAGCTGCTGTTCTTCCACCCACGTTTCTGTGACATAGTCCTTGAAACGGGTAACCTCTGGGCTGTTGTCCTCATTGTCATCAAGAGCATTGAACCAAACGTCCTCCACTTGTCGGGTCGGAAACAAGGGTAGGACAGCAGCTCTTCTTACCTCTACCGAACGGAAAACATACATGCAATACATTTCTGAAATTAGAAGAATTTGAACTACATGTATATAATTATTATAGAGGCTGCGATCTGTTTAGATTTGATGTGATTTTCGAGAAAAGCGGGAAGGTGGAACTAGGGATTCTTTTATTACTAATGTTAGATAATGACACTTACCAACTTTCTCAGTTCGTCATCCTGTTTGTAACCCGCAGCTAACCCACATCCCTGTGTCTTTCTCCAAATGCATTGCGTGTAATGGAACAAACAGGCTTTCACTGTCGTAAGTGGGAACACAGCATTTATCGCGTTTCGGGCAGCTACTTCAAAGTCCAACATGGCTACTTCTGGTACCAACATCAAATTCATTTGAAGCACAGCATCCCTCAAAAGGGTGAACAACCTGATGTAAGTATGTTCTGCTGTGTTTGGTAACAGTGCAAACACAAGAGGGAACATAGTTCCATTGACGCTGCCGTGAAGTGTGTATAACTGGCTGAACAATCCGGGACACGAATACAATGTTCCGTCACTGTACATGATTGATACCTGAAAAAGTTTTCTTAGATTGTCATCAGTAGCGAATATAATAATTCGCTGGCCTTGTTGGTTTGTGTCATCAGACAATACAAACCTCTCTTCGGCTGATGTTTCCTTCCACAGGTCGTCCAGCTGTATATCTTGCTGTCGTTGTGGCAATTTCGGCTCTGCTCCTGTATAATGCGGACTTGCAACTTTCAAATGTTGGTTGTTTTTTTTATCATGTCCTCAACATCATCATCATAGTCTCTGTCACGGAGATTGCCAAGTTCCTCTTCAAATCTCGACAACGCTTTTTAACATTTACAATAAATGAGTCAGCCGCTAGCGAAATAGTATCAGGAGGATGGTTGTGATGTTGGTGCCCAAATACAACTGGGATGTTATCCAGGGTTGTAAATGTTGCTGGACACTGCCGTAAAACACATCTCCAATAAACACGGTTATCCCGTCTTGTCCGTATAGAAAATTTGTAGCCAGCATGAAGTAGGTTATAGCCACCTCTACCATTCTCTAAAAAAGTCAACCTGTACTTGTTTGTGCATTGGCCATGGATAGATGACTGATACATTCTCAAAATCATGATAAACAGACTTAATAGTGTGAGCAGTATCACCTACCTAAAATCTACCGTACCTGTATACATAGAAATATTATAATAGAGATTAGTATATCTGAAACAGACTATAACTGAGGTTCACTCAGTTTGTTAAGATTGAAATGTTGGCCAGGTGACACTGGGTATTTTTCAAATGTTGGCTAGGTGAGAAGCAATCTATTTTACTGAGTTGTAGTTTTTAACAAACTCACACGGAGATATGTTTGTATGGTTTCATATTCGTGACCTGTGGTGTTTACGAGTTAATTAAGCTTGTTTCATAATTGTTGTAAATAAATAAACTTCTTATATACAAGTTTATTTCACTTTATCTACATAGTCTGTTATTCTTATTAATCATATGCATTTGTACATCATCTTCAATTCCACACATAGGTAGTTTTCGTTGTTCTACGTTTAACTTTCAAGGGAGACACAGCTGAAAGAATAAATAATGCAGGAGAGAGAAAAAAAATAACGGAGACTAATCTACAATGTAATACACCATGCAAGTTAGTCCAATATTTAATATTTTACTTAAAATGTATTCATGTCGATACAGTGTGCAATTGAATCTAAGTCATGAACCTATCACCTGGTGAACTTGGAAAAATGTTTACAGCATTAACGGTCTCACACACCTAAGTCATGTACCTATCACCTGGTGAACTTGGAAATATGTTTACAGCATTAACGGTCTCACACACCTAAGTCATGTACCTATCACCTGGTGTACCTGGTAAATATGTTAACAGCATTAACGGTCTCACACACCTAAGTCACGTACCTATCACCTGGTGTACCTGGTAAATATGTTAACAGCATTNGTTTACAGCATTAATGGTCTCACACACCTTAGTCATGAACCTATCACATGGTGTACCTGGTAAATATGTTTACAGCATGTATGGTATCACACACCTAAGTCATGAACCTATCACATGTTTTACTTGGTGAATATGTTTACAGCATTAATGGTCTTACACACTTAAGTCGTGAACCTATCACATGTTTTACTTGGTAAATATGTTTACAGCATTAATGGTCTTACACACTTAAGTCGTGAACCTATCACATGCCTGTCTGGAGAGTGTGACAGGTTAGGAATAGCTTTGTTATCGGGTATTTATTGTTTTAACATGAACATTCGAAAAATCTTTTTCTATAGCATTGTAAACTTAATATCAGGAAAGAAACTGTTTTGGTATGTGTGTGGTCAAAGTATGGAACAATCTCCCAGAACACCAAATCTCGGCATCCACAGTAAAATCTTCCAAAAACAGATTAGATAAACATTGGGTGAAAATCAAGAACTTTTATATAATTATGTGTCCAAAATTCTATAGAAATTGGAACTGTTGTCACAGTTGATTTATTTAATTTCTTATTGTTTTTTTGAGTGCGGTGTAGAGGATCTTAAATGATCCTGTACCGGTAATAAACTTAGCTTAACTTAGCTTAACTTATGTCCAGTATTTTGTTAATATGTACGAACCAGCTTTCCCACCTATGTAGATATGTAAATTAGTCTCCAAATTTAAAATGTCAGTCTAGATAGTGAGGCAACCTGATAAGGAATATAGCTGTATAATCGGGTACTGTTTGATTATATATGACCATTTGCTACGATAAGCCCTGAAACCAAGTCAAGTGTTAAAAGACAACAGTATGATAACCTTTCACACAGCCACCTGTAACACATCTATTATTTCGTTCCGCTACAAATGTTTACAGTCTGTAATATTGACCAAGATGCGCACGCATCACGGCATGAGAATAAAACAGTCGTCCAAGATTGAATGTTGTTGTGTTCCACATCCATCCAGTTTAAGATGTTTATGCATCGACATGTCTAGTGCAGATATGAAACACCACCCACTACAAACCACCCTTGGGCAGTTATTATACACTGAAGTAAAGACGCATTGTGATAGTGTATCATTAATTAACACTAATGGAACAGGCCATTAGTAGCATCAGAGTACTGTACAGTTATACGTCACCGTGACAGATCTAACGAAGTAGTACACTAGTAAAGATATACAATATATTTGACGCAACTATTGCGCGCATTTAAACGCGAGAGCTCACAACAAGCTAATACACCATAGGTCCAAGTCATTTGTACAACAAAAAGGACACGAATTCGTGAAAGAGACATAATTAGCGATTGGTTATGTATCTTTGAACATTTGATTTAAATGAATCTACACATATGTTTGTTCGTGTTTGTCCTCAATGTTTTGGGGTCGCGTGCAGCACCATATATAGATGCCTACATAAATCCGGAGAGGTCCGAATTTAATTCCGGGGCTGCTCTTAACCCCGGTACGGACTTCCAGATGGGTAACTGGACGATGGATTATAACGACACCAGTGATTTTGAAGTAGAAATATCATCTTCTCCAGAACTGCTCGAAAGAATACCCGGACAGACTGCCACTGTTACAGTAAAGGATGAGATGGTAGGTATGAGATGAGGGGTATGATATGGTAGGTATGAGATGGTAGGAATGAGATGGGGGGTATCTGATATAATAGTCGTAGTCTGAGCGGGTTATCTCATCGTGAAACCCACGTCAATATCCCATTGTTTTTTTGTTTTTTTTAAATTAACCGAAACAAGAATAATAAACATTGTCGACAAGCTAGGTTGCAATGGAATATTTCTAAAGTCGACAGCTTTGCATTAATCTAGGCCAAATCAATTTTACCGCAAGTTTAAACTACTAGTGTTTCACTCAGGCAAATTGTTTCTGGACTTTAGACATGATGGTAAGAAAACAGGGACAAACCCACTTACACACATACTTCAATGTGTCTACAGGCTCTGGACATATGGCGAACTCAGGAATATGTGTCCGAACATATACTTTAGTAAAGTTAAGTAAAGTGTTCATTAGCTATTTTTTATTTTTTATTTATAGTAAAACAAATCACGATATAATATGTGCTAATTATGTCGTTACGATAAGTGGCTGATATAACTCCGTGAGATATCAAGTATCATGGTTATGTTCCCCGTTTTACTGCGCTTTAGTTTTAAATTGTGTTGTATACTTATCTTAACAAAAGTTGTGGGTTCATGTCTTTTTATTTTTAAATTACAGACGTTTTTGATAAAAAAAAAATCGTTAGATTGCTATAAAATATTGTATATCGTATATATGTACATTAAGTTCTACTCTAGTTCTCTGTTTTATATGTATGTAGGTGTGTTTACCCCAAGGCTATCGTGTGTAAAATGATCTTTATCAAATGGTCACTGAGACTCATATATACATTTCATTATTGATCTCCCCGGGGGTTCAAACAAAGACAACAATTTGCCATAAGTTTACATCATGTTGACAACCTGGTCTAAAAGTTGTATTTGTATTTAACGAAGCCGAGTTCTCTAATATGTTTTGACGAAAGGGTATCGTCTAATGAAGGCCAGATATTGAATGTTATGAAGCCGAGCTGAACAATTTAGGATTGCAATATTTGTGGAATGCAAATTGTAGTGAGAAAATGGCGTTCAGTGTAACTAAACAAAGATTTTGCGATGTTTATCATCAGAGCTTTTATCTGACATTTGAAATATTTGATGAACAGTACAAAGATTTAGGTTAAAGCACACCGAATCTAAACCAGTAGAGACAGCAAAGAACCTCCCCATTATGTCAAACGAACGATGTCGAGGACGAATTTCATTTTATTCTCAAATGTATTTTTTATAACAATCTTCGAAGTACATATATTAAACCATATTATTATAGACGACCAAGTGTGTTCAAATTGATACAGTGAATAAGTGTACAAAATGTAACCGAATTGAGTAAATTAGGGAAATTTCTTTATTTAGCGACAAAACAACGAAATAACGCTATATGGCTGTGTATGTTATAGTCTGTTCAATAATGCTCGTATGAAACTACTTCCATAATTTGTAATCGGCTTTTAGGACCATGGTGATTTTTTTTGGATTTTTTTTTAACAAACATGTGAGAAGCGAAGATAAAATCAGATAAAAATGTTCATTTTAAAAGCATTCGCATTGTATGTGTACATAATCAAAATAAAAAGGGAGTTAAAATAATAAAAGAGATAACGTAACGAGATTTGTGTAAAACTCTACGGTTACGATATGTGATATCAACTTGTGACTTGCTATATTATAAGGTATTTAAAAGTAATATGTTGTATTGTTATGATGTGTGTTAGTTCATCTAACTGAATGTGAATATTATGTATATCATTATAATATTAAGTAAGATCTCTAATATTGTGAATATCATTGTATTGTTTTGTAAATACTGTAGGTTATGTAACGTCTTCTCTCCGATGTGTTGAACAACACAAGGAAATAAAGAATCCGAATCTGAATCTAACAAAATAGTCACATTTAGCTATTCCTAGAACGGTCCTACCATAGTGAAATGTTCCTTTTATTTCACGTTTTGTTTGTTTTATTTTATTTAACGTCCTATTCCGTCTTTGCGTATTGCAGAGTTATCTTCTAATGTGAGCAGGTATTGATTGTTACGTCATTGGTTTGTGTGAGAAAATTACATCGTTTTCTCAAAAATTGATAACGTTACTCTCACAAACAAATAACGTAACAATCAAAACCTGCTCACAAGAGAAGATAACTCTGCAATACGCAAAGACGGAATTAACAGCTAAGGTCGTTTAAAGATGAGCCTCCTTGTGTGTAGTGTTATGCGTGTATGTGTGCTGGAGACGGGGTATGGTGGTGTACTTGCCTCCTTGTGGTAGCTCTATCTCATTGAAATACGTAAATATGTGTAAGGATAAGTCGGCATGTAAACCAGTCAGTTATATGTGTTAGAAGGGTCTCTCTATAACCAATTTAGTATGTCTCTGTTTATCACCGTGATATTGAAAATTTATAATAATTAATCTACGAGGGTTTTGTACAACCGTATACTTAATATTTTATTGTGCGTCATACAAGATCATCAATTTGTATATTGATACAAGTTTTTGTTTATTTATATTACTATCGTGATTTGAATTATAGTTTTCACTACCCTGTTTCATAACATCTTCGCTAGCCAAATGTTCGCTTCTTATACACTCCACTTACATGTATACCCTTGGCGGATATAGCCGTGTTTTCATAATTCCCTCCACTGCCACCTAGCGGATATACCGAGTTATCGTAATTCTCCCAATACACGAAGCGAACATTTGGCTAGCGAAGATGGTTTCAGAACTGAGCTGACATTATCAAAAACATGTATGATTTCAATTTAGATCTACTAAATTTAGTTTCACCAACATGACTGTTGGCTTTTTGAAAAGCCTCTCTCTTTGTTAAAGACTCAGATTATTATTGTTTTATGGAGCAATCTGGGCTTTCTGATCTAACTTTGATTGCTTCATAAAGGAATAAAGATAAAGTATTCCTTTGTCATTCCGTAAACGTAAGTATTGAAGACAGAAAGCCGACACCCTAAGTATTTCTTATGATTCTAATTTTTATAATCGTGAATTGATGGACATAAAATAAAACTTGTAATCGTTTTTAATAACTTCAGAGAGCAAAATAGTTTAAACAATAATGAAACTTCAGTGTACTGGTTTCTATTGGACCCTTAATGAAATGAAGTTTTCAAAATAAGTTGATTAAATAACAAGAAATATCACCAATGTTGTAAAAATATAATAAAAATCAGTTTTCCTTGTTTAGCCTGGTGAAACACAATCTTTGACACTTGCGACCATTTTGTTTAACCAACCTCAACAAGGGAAACTATTACGAAAAAATTGCCTATCGACAACAACCCTGCAGGTCGCGTATCGAGAAACGAACACACCTGCTTTTACACACGGCACGCATCGTAAGATGCGACTTATGTGAGAACCCTAGTAGAATTGGGGATTTGCTTTTGTGCCGTCTACCTGGGGACACAAAAGCGACCAAAATAAATCTGCTGCACTCATTGCAACATGTCGGATCTTTATCTTTCTTTCTACTACTATTTGCCTTTGATTCTAGAGCGTCATTTAGCAACTGCTTTTACATTGAACGTTCGCCAAGGTGAGGAAGTCCGGGACATAACAAAGACCTTAAAACGGTAGTTGTTATTCCGTGCTTAACGTTCAGCATTTAGGGAAATGGCAGCAACTGGTTCACCCGTTGTCAGTATCATGTGGCCGGGCGGAATGCTGTGCTTGGTGCCTTCGGTATGGTGTTTCAGGGGTGTAGCACTATAAAGTCGGCATCAGATTGCGCTATCACAAAGAAGAAAATATACCAACATACCCTGTCCCCGGCACACACATATGACCTTAGCTGTTAATATGACGTTAAACAAATTAAAAACAAAACAAAACCTTGCGACAAATGTTTCCCATCCTTAGCCATCCTTGATATCCAGGGGCTACGCTCACTTTCGCTCTCTACACCCATGGAATATGTCATAGCAAAAATAAAACCACGCGGCTAGCTTTTTGATGGTGTCAGGTAAAAAACAACTGACCAATCACTGATACTTGTCCTTTGAGGATTACAAAGGAGCGACGCCCGACTTCAAAGCCTGTCGCTGTTTACCGTTACGCGACTGCGAGATTCTTTTGATGTACATCAAAGGACCAAACTAGTCTTCTCGTCTCATCCACAAGGTGCTGCACACTGAACTTTCAATTTTGCTATGACATATACCAGGGATGTAGAGAGCGAAAAAAGAGCGTAACCCCTGTATAAAGCTGATTCAGCTTCAATATGCCAAGACCAATAACAGTTTGTTGTTGTTTAACACCTTATTAATATTGAGTTGTTAAACTATTAAACAATTCTTTCTGCTGTCAGGAGCTGTTTTTGTTCATGCCGGCCGAGGAAGATGTCTGCTACATCAAAGACATGAACGACTTTGAGGACGACAAGGGAAAAAAGAATATGGTAAGTTAAGATTGTATTGTACATGTATATATAGAGGGTCACCATAGATTATAATGTCACTCAACGGTCATGTTATGGTACGGTCCGACAGATATGTCCTAATGTTGACATGATACCATAACGCTCAGTACAGATAACTTATAACCTGAGGTGGCTTCCGAGAATCGCCATCAGTCTGAATGTTATCGTAAAACGCGGCTTATGTGGGGCTCATTACAGAAAGGGGGGAGGGGGAGGGAGGGGCGACTATTGTGAGGCTCACTACAGAACAGGGGGCAACTATTGTGGGGCTCACTACAGAACAGGGGGCGACTAATGTGGGGCTCACTACAGAACACTGGGGCTCAATACAGTACAGGAGGGGCAACTAATGTGGGGCTCACTACAGAACAGGGGGCGTCTAATGTGGGGCTCGCTACATAACACTGGGCGACTTATGTGGGGCTTACAACAGAACGGGGGGGGGGGGGGGTGACCAATGTGGGGCTACCTAAAGAAGGTGGCGACTAATGTAGGGCTTACTAGAGAACAGATGGACTATTGTTGGGCTTTCTTAAGAACAGGGGGACGACTAATGTGGGCCTCACTGCAGAACAGGGGGACGACTGATGTGGGCCTCACTACAGAACAGGGGGACGACTGATGTGGGCCTCCCTACAGAACAGGGGGACGACTAATATGGGCCTCACTACAGAACAGGGGGACGACTAATGTGGGACTCACTACAGAACAGGGGGACGCCTGATGTGGGCCTCACTACAGAACAGGGGGACGACTGATGTGGGCCTCACTACAGAACAGGTGGACGACTGTCGTGGGCCTCACTACAGAACAGGGGGACGACTGATGTGGGCCTCACTACAGAACAGGGG